CATATTTACAGAAGTGCTTTTTCAGATTAATTCTATCTTAAGAAGTAAAGTTTAAAGCTTTAAATAATGTTAGTTGCTCATAAGAAAAATGGGTTTTGAGTATATAGTCTGTTGTTAACATGAAGAAGTAAAAGCTATTTTTTTGTTTCCTGTGTTCTCCCCTGATGATGAGTTTTGGGCCTCACTCAGCCTGAATGTGAACTTTCACTTCTCAAAAAGCATATTAATTTTTGTGTTTTTGTACTGACACACATCATGCTCTCAGGTCATGATATAACATAAAAACAATAACTTCCTTATTTCTAGAGGAGTTAAAATTTAAGAAGATTGCTTGATAAGGGTGTTATAAAATATTGTTATTCTTATTAATAACACCCCCAAAACTAAAGCCATTACCCGACAACACTTTTTTCTGTTGCCCTTCTCCAAGATGAGGTCCTAAATTCAGAATAAAAAAACTATCAACCCTCATCCATTGCTGGTATGAACATAAAATGGTACAGCCACTGTGGAAAACAGTTTGGTGATTCCTCAAAAACTTGAGCATAGAACTACCATTTGACCTAGCTATTCCACTTTAGGTATATACTCAAAAGTTCTGAAAGCAGCAACGCGAACAGACACACCGGGACGGATTACCCAGTAAGTGAGGTAAGCTCATGCTTAGGGTATCAACGAGACAGGGACACCAGTTGTCCAAAGCAAAGACCCATAGATGCCAAGCAGACAGGACACAAGGAAAAACGAGTACCGCAGTAGAAGGGAACTGGCAGGGCACTAAATGAAATTGATACCAGTTTATAAATTCCGTGTATGATAACAATTGTATTTTCCTTTTCATTTTGGACCGATTGGGTATAACCTCATATTCAGTTCTCTCTCGTCGACCACATAAGGACACGCCAGTGGCACAAGAATCACATGAGTCATGACGTATTTTGTCCTGCAGCAAAAGCGAACCAACAGATTGCGCATACCCTTGAATTTGTATCATGCTCTTTGCAAGAACATTCTCGCCCCAGGTGGGTATCAGCTGTAGCCCAGTGAACTGTGAAGACGCAGCATCAAAGGATGGAAGGTGAGTGCACAAGTTTTAAAGTATTATTTCAAGACGAAAAACACTTGTGGAGATCTTTAAAGGGCCCGCCAACAAACATCGTAAGACAAATGAGTGAAATTACTTCTGCTGCCTTGTAAGTACTATTTCTTTTGCCTATCTCAGACCTAAAGAACAAAATTTCATGTTCTAAATCAATTTTTTTACTTACTAATTTTCAAGTGTAAATTTTTGTGTTAATATTCAAATTCAAATGTAAATTTTCTTTTATTTTACTTGTTTTATAAATTTTATTCATTTTCAATTATTCAGATTTATTTGCTACAGTAGAACCAAATTTAAAAAGTGACATAATTTTATATCCAGGTAAAATGAAATGGCAACAACCAAGTGGAGCACAAAAATGAAAGCCCACAGAAAATAAAAAGAAAAGGATTTGTGAATCCATAAAGATAATTCCAAAATTAACTTCCTTTCTAAACGGTAATAAATAAGAGACTTCCGTTGAACACTCTAGTTTAATGGATACAAATTGTTGTACTAATACCACTAGTGCTGCAATTACTGATAGCAATACAAATATAACAGAATTTGTTCCAAATTCTGCGTCCATTCTTCGCTGCAGTAAAAAAAAAAATTGATAATGGTGTAGAAAGTGAAACTATTTTAGAATCTGCGATTGTTGCATCTGCAGACCCCATAAATAACAGAAATACAGATCTTGCTTTGTAGAATAATTTTTCTTCTAATAACGTAAATTATTGGATTGAAAAAGGGCCAGGTGATTGTCAGCATCACAGTGGACCACTTGAAAATGTGTGTTGAAAATTTCTTGATGGTAAACAAACAAGGTTCTGTAGCCAGGATGTATTTCTAGGGTGCAAAGCTAACGGTGAAAATTATAAGAGGGAGTGGCTACTGTATTCTCCATCAGTCAGCTTTGTATATTATTTTGTTTGCAAACTATTCAGTCCTAAATAATTTTTTTTTCTGGTACTTTAGGTGAAGGTTTACAGAACAAATAGTTTCTCATTAAACAGTCAATACACATATTGTTTTATGACATTGGTTAACAACCCCACGACATGTCAACACTCTCCCTTCTCGACCTTTTTTTTTTTCAATCAGTCCTACATAATTTAATTCTTGACTTGTTATGGATGGATTTAGCAATTGGCACAACTTGAATATGATCGATAAATGTGAAAACAGTTCAATTCACAGAGATTGTATGTTGTCATAAACCAAAGATATGGTTTTGGCTTAACTCATGAACTGGAAACAACACAATGAAGAATGTCAGTACTGGAAAGCTATTTTGTAATGCGTTGTTGCTGTCATTATAACAATCGCTGAACGTGGACTATTTTTTTCAAGGAAGAAATGAAGTGTTTGAGTCTCCACAAAATGGAAATTTGGGGGGTTACTTGAACTTGTTGCACAGTTGATCCATTTTTTGCAGCTCACATCTCAAAATATGGTAACACAGGAAAGGGCAACCCATTGTATATGTCAAAAACAACACATGAAAAATTAATAAACTTAGTAAATGATAAAGTTCAATCAACTATTTTCAGTCAGATAAGTATAGCTTGATATTTCAGTTTGTCTGTAGATTCCACTCCTGATCTTTCGCATACAAATCAGCTACGTATTGTTTTAAGATATATATTTCCAACAGATGGAAAACCTGTTTAGCAATGGTCACATTTACTAGCTTAAAAAGTCATACTGGTGAAGGAATTGCAGATCAAGTATTTCACTACTTATGTCAAGTTAGCAAAACTGATTTTTCTAAATACAGACACCAGTCCTATGACAATGCTGCTCATAAGTCAGGACGTTGTGAAGGCACACAACAGAAGATTTTAGAACATAATGAATATGCCATTTTCATACCATGTGCTGTGCATTCACTTAATCTTGTACGACATAGTACAGTAGAATGTTGTCCAGAAGCAGGTGATTTTTTTTCTACTGTTCAGTTATTCTCATGTTTTACCACCTCTGCTCACTGATGGGCAGTTCTTAAAACATATTTAGGCAATGATGGAGTATTAAAATGTCTCTGTAATACACGTTGGGGAGCACATGCTGTAGCAACATGTGCAATCCTGGGATTGTACACTCAGATTCTAGATGCCTTAGAAAATATTGCTGAAGACCAGACACAAAAAGGAGATGCCAAAAGAGAAGCTGAAAACAACAAAATGCAAACACTAGAGCATGTATTTATGTTGGTCATGTGGAATAATACATTGCAACAGTCTAATCAGATGAGTCAAGCTCTCCAAGATTCAGAAGTAAATTTAAAGACAGGCACACAGATCTCTACAATCATTAAACGGGTATTTACGTAATTTAAGAGAAGATTGTGAAAACAGAACCAAAACAAATACTGTCAAATACTGATTATCAAGCAGTTCACTGTCACAGAAGCGTTAGAAAGAAACGGGGAAATGATGGAAGTGCTCCAGAAGTATCATTCAGTGCCAAAGATCAATTTCATGTAACCGCATACTATACCATTATTGACACACTTGAATATTGCATGAAAAAAGGGCAAAAGTGTATGAAGTTCTTTCAGGTAAGTTTTCCTTCTTAAACGGTGTGGCTATACCTGATGCAGAATGCATGAAGGCTTCCAGAAATTAGTGCAAACTTATCCTGATGACTTAAATACAAACCTTTATGGAGAAGTGGGACAATTTCATTCTTACATGAAAACTAAGTTTACAGATTGAGGAAAGACAATTTTTACTCATGTAGGCGTGCATGATTCCATACTAGAAGTTAAAATACAGTGCGTATTTCCCAGTGTTGAAATTGTTCTATGCATATTCCTAACTTTAATGATCACAAACTGCACAACAAAACACTCATTTTCATCCCTGAAGAGACTCAAAAACCCTCAGCATTCAACAATGATTCAAGAAATACTCGAATCATTATCCTTATTAAGTATGGAAGTAGTTACTATTTAGCAGCTTAATTGTGATGAAATCATTGAAGAATTTTTAAGAGCAAAGAATAGAAAAAAATGTTTTTAATTATAACGTGTTAGATATGAAAGATCTCTCTAAAATTAAAATATAGTAATTTGTAGTAATATTTATTTTCTGATCATTAAATTTTCTTTTATGGCATCTTTTCATTTGTTCATTTATAAGTATAGAATTTATTCTGAAACAAGCATCAAAATTGAAGTATGAGCCGTTTAAAGCAAAACTGGTAAAAGTCAATTAATTGTTGAAACAAGTGCACTGACTCATTTTCTTTTTTTGTAGAATATGTGGAATATCTTTTTGTAGAAAATGTGGTATATAGTAAAACAATTTTAGTACCACTAGAAATTTTATAATCCAGTTCATCTCATTCTGCTAAAATGGCATATGCCACTTTTTGTGTTCAATCGCTAATATTAAAATCACATTTAAAAAGAAGTTACATCATCAACAGTTAAGACACACACAGTTATGTATATATATATATACATGTATATGTATATAACTCACATGTCCCATTCGAATGGGTAAATTAGCAGAGGAGGGTACACCACAGATTCAGTGTTTAGGGCCCTCATATGCCTTAATCAGGCCCTGCAGACATATATATACCAATGTTCATTGCAGCATTTTCACAATAGCCAAAAGGTGAAAATAACTGAAATGTCCATCAACAGGCAAATGGATAAACAAAATGTGGTATATATATACAGTGGACTGTTACTCAGCCATAAAGAGAAATAAAGTTCTGATATATGCTACAACGTGGATAAAGCTTGGAAACATTATGCTGAGTGAAATAAGTCAGTCCCAAAAGGACAAATACTGTATGATCTCACTTATATGGAATAAGCAAATATATAGAAACCAAAAATTGTTAGTGGCTACCAGAGGTGGGAGGGAGGGAGAAAGGGAGAGTTTTGGTTTAGCGGGCAGTGAGTTTATGTTAATGGTGGTGGAATAATTCAGAAAAGCATAGTGAAATTGGTTGTACAACTTGAAGAATGTAATCAATGTCACTGAAATATACATGAAGGAATTGTTCAACTGGCGTATGTTTTGCTGTGTATATTTTTACCACAAAATTTTTAAAAAAGATCACATCATCTTTTACAACAAAATCTTCTTAACACTTCTTGGATGCTGTTGTTGTTGTTAGTTGCCAAGTTGATTCCAACACATGGCAACTCCATGTGTGCAGAGTAGAATTGCTCCATAGGGTTTTCAAGGCTATGATCTTTCAGAAGCAGATCATCATGCCTGTCTTCCAAGGCACCTTTGGGTGGGTCCAATCACCAACCATTCGGCTAATAGCTCAGTGCTTAACAGTTTGCACCACCCAGGGACTCCCAGATTACACCAAAAATTTGCTTCTTTGCAGCATGGTACTCATGAACAGAGATGCTAAAAATAATTAGGTATAATTAGTATGCCCCATGTTTTTAAAATTAGTTCATCAGTATTATAAGAACTGCCCTGTCCATTGTGTCTACAACGCAGAGAAAGATGTCAAAGCAAAAAAAGGAAACTCATCCTCTCTAGATGATTTTTTATACAAGCTAAAGGTGTGACTATGAATGATTAGTGATTGTGGACATTCCTGGATGGGCAAACACACTTGTGTTCATGTGCAAGGGCTTTTATGACTGTCAACAAATTTATTTCCAAGATGATTTTATTCCTTGGTTTAAAATAACATTTTATTATTGGTAGCAATTTTGGTACACATCTTACAAAATAGATCATAAAATCCTCAATATTGGTAAATACATTCACTGTCTGTATCACTCATAGAGATCAGGCAAAGCAGAAAGGATAAATGGAATTATCAAAAATAAGTTATTAAGGGTGAGGGAAAAATTCGGGAATGGTTAACAGTGGTGGTTGAACAACATGAAGAGCATTGTTAATGTCACTGAACTGTGCGTGTAAATTTTGTGGAAATGGCAAATGTTTTGTTACCTATATATTTACCACAGTAAAGTTAAAAAAAAAAAAAAGTAAGTTGGTTAAATTGATAGAGAAGACTCTCTTTGTCCCCCTCTTCTTACTTGGGTTCCGGTAGTATATTCTCCTCAAAGTAGTCATCAACTGAGACTATGAAACGCAGCAGTTACCAGTGGGCCCATGCACTTGTGTATTACACCGTAGTGAAAATTCTTCTTTCATTCTCATATAGGCAGTTGCTGTATTAGAGTGACCAGACCGTTTGGTACTGTCAACAGGTAGTTTCTATTCTCCCCTCTTGTTTGCCTAAAGATCCCTGCCATAATTTACTGACAAGAAATAAACTAACACTTGGCTGATTCAACCTATCAGAGCCCTTTGACTTGAGACTTCCAGAAAAATTCCAGTCCCAAAGTAGAAGACTTCTATGGAGGGAACTTGCAAGCATAGAACAACAAATAATTTTAAAGGAATGAGTAAAATTAGTGAGGGAGATTGATTGTGGTTACTGTTTTGGTATTTTTGGTAAGGTGCTTCATGTTCTTTTTTTGATTAGTCATCTGATGCAGCCCTTTTTCTTAGCTCTGGCTCTGGTCTCTGACCCTCAATTTAGCAGACTATCCTTGTGCCAACTGGGATAAACACTCTCTCCAAAAAAAATGCACCACTCTCCTAAACATCTCTACTGGCATTGGCAACGTCTACACCAAGAACAGACTCCCTCTTTGATTGGCACTTTGTTCTAGCTAATCCCCCGAAATTCATGGTGGAATAGGGATTGTCTCAGATGATAGATTTTGGTGAAGCCACATACTACATTCCTTAGAATACTTTCCCTCAAACACCCCACAGAAATTCAGATTTATAAAATTTCCTATATACTACCCTTGCAAGGGAGAGTATCCTATAGATTCTTATCTCATGAAAGTGTGTGACAAGATGGAGCCTCCATAAGCCTGAGTCATGACTAAGAGGCTGACTCCTCCCCCACACACAACGCGCATTAAATACTGTAGCTTGAGCAAGAAATAAGGGTTTGAGTTAAGCCACTGAGATACTAGGGATGTTACTGTTAACATAACCTATCATATTTAAACTGCTACAAACTATACTTAACGTGGGAACAATGCCTAAAAAAACCTTTCAAATCATTGGTTTGGGACCTGCTCTAGGAGTCTAGGTTTGGCTTCTAGTCCTAGCTCTGCCAGAGACCAGCTCAGGCCCAGTTCCTCTGGTCAGACAGGGACACAGTATTCCTTCAAGGCACACATATCTGCCCACTTCACAAGGGGAAAGAGCTTACTCTCAAGAGCCAGACTGCATGGGATGAAACGCAAGCTCTTATGGAGGGGGTGACTTTGGCCAATTTCTTTCGTTTATGTGCTTGTTTCCACATATGTAAAATGCAGACAACGGTACATACACCTTATAGGAACAAAGACAAAGCGTTTACAACAGTTCTTGACAGACAGTGCTTTGTGGGTACTAGCTGTTAGCAGAGAATAGCTTTTTCTGGCCCTCTTAACCTCTTCCCAGTTACCCATCCAGAACATGCTGGGCAACCCCATTCCTATCTCTTTTATTTCAGAACAGGCAACACTGGGAGGCTTGGGAACAATTTCAATGGTAAAATTCTGGGCCTGCCTCTAGGTTCGAGATATAGTAAAAAATGAAATTTAGAGCTATGAATGTATCCTAGATTAGAAGAGTAGTTAAGTATCTGGCTTCAGTTCATAGCAAAGTGTCAGAGCTGAGAATTGACCAAGTTTAATTGGTTTCAGTCAATGGGAATCAGTAAGCAAATCAGTGGCATCCCCAGTCACCCCCTAATAATTCACAAGACACATGTGGGGTGTCTATTTATTTAAACTGGCTTTCAGAGGGCCCTACTATGGAGCACAAACTGAGTAAGTGGGAGCTCTGGGGATGAACAGGGCTGTGATGTCCAGGTATCAGAAGATAGAAGGAGCTCAGTTGAGCAGCCAGAGCAGCAAGACCAGGCTGAGCGAGAGAGGCCAAGCCCGACAGGGCTCAGCGCCACTCATGGCCTTGGCATAGAACCTTGCCACCTCTTCGTTGGGGTTGCCCTGGGCTGGGTCGAACCACATCTGGATGCAGCGGCCGCTCCCTCGGGTGTAGTTGCTGGCCTTGTAAGAGTGACTCCAGATTTCATTGCACAGAACATCAGGTGTAGGGAAGTAGACATCAAAGGGGGCACACTGAGCTTCTGCTGGGCACTGGTTATGCCCTGTAAGCAGGATGAAAGACCTTCATCCAAGGAGCCCAGAACTACCTCTGACTTCACCAGCCCTTAACCCCAAATACACACCCATTCCACACCCCTACACATCCACCTTCATTCCACTTCCAAGCCCTCCACCAGCCCTCACCTGAGGTCCAGTTCCAGCCCTTGTGCCAGTTGATCTTGCAGGTATAGGAGGTGCGGCAGTCTTCCCACCAGTTCTGACAGTCCTCTTTGCACAGGGGCACATTGAGGATCCGCTCTTTGCGCCAGCTCTGGTCTACCTGAAGAGCATGGGTAGAGAAGAAGGGCTCAGGCTCAAAAATCTCAGCAGCCCAGATCTGAATAGAACTGGAACTAGAGGGAGGTTGGGGGAGCAGCCTGAAGTGATGTCTGGAAAGTATGGTTCTTCTGCTGGGTTAGGGTGCTGGGGAGAAACTCATACCTGTTGGATCCAGGGCCCCAAGTTGGGGGAGCATTCATAGAGGCAGGTGTCCTGGATGAAGTGCCGCTTGCAGGCAGGTTCCATCTTTCCACAGTGGTCCCAGTTGAATCTGTACAGGTAGGAAATATCCTTGTGGGCTTCCTGGCTGGTGTTGACGGAGCAGCAGGAGTTCTTCTTCCAGGGGCCACACTGAATGGGGAAGATCAGGGACTAATTCCCACATCCATAATGGCCAGAATATTCCCACACACAGCCTCTCCCCATCTAGTCCTTGCTTCCCCAACCCACTTAAGCCTCTTGTGGAAATACTTGCTGCTGGAGTCCTCTTTGGAGAGGGCTTTCAGAGGCTGTGGAAGCCCAGGAGGAAACCACTGCCTGGAGGGGAAGACATTACAAAATTCATTGATTCAAATTTTTATTAAGCTCATATTTACTCTAACCCAGGCACTTTTCTAGAAACTGGGGGCCAACAAGGAACATTTATCACATAAGTGCTTTGTAAAAAATATATCGCAGGGAAGGTGAGACAGATTGCAGTTTTATAGGATGGTCAGATTAAGCCTCATTGAGACGGTGACAAAGACCTGAAGGTGAGGAAGCAAGCCAAATAAATTGTATCCCCAGAATAGGAGTCCTTGGATGGTGCAAATGATTAAGCACTGGGCTAGTAGCCAAAAGATTCATGGTTTGTACCCACCCAAAGACACCTCAGAAGAAAGGCCCGGTAATTTGCTTCTGAAAGTTCACAGCCTCAAAAGCCCTATGGAGTGTATTGTACTCTGACACACATGGGGTTACCATGAGTCAGAAAAGATTTGACAAGCCAAAAAAAAGCAAACCTGTTGCCATCAAGTCGATTCCGACTCATAGTGACCCTATAGGACAGAGTAGAACTGCCCCATAGGGTTTCTACGGCTGTAAATCTTTACGCAAACAGATTGCCACATCTTTGTCTCACAGTTGGTGAGTTTGAACCGCCAAGTGCTTAACCACTGGGCACCAGGGCTCCTTATAGACTTGATGGCAACTGGTTTTGGTTATCCTCAGAATAGTTCCAATTACAGAAACACTCAACACATACTTATTAAATGAAAATCCACAGCCTAGCATTTAGTAAAAAGAAAATATTAAAATCCACACGTTTAAAAAAATATATAGACTGCTCAAGGTATTCAAGTAACACCACCACCTGTCATTCTGCACTTGCAGCTGTGGGCTCAGTAATTCAAACAGTGCAAACAGGGGACTGTAGTCATTATCTGCTAATGTCATGCTGAACATTCACATATTGAAATTATTTTCCTTTTGCTTTTTTTTTTTTTTACAGTTATGGCATCATATTGACTTTAAAAATCATATTTATAGATAGGTTCATGACATTAAAGAGGTTGGTGCAAAAACAATTGTTGAAGGAGACCTCAGGATCAATAGGATCTCGAGCCACTGTATAAATGCTAGATGCGTAAATCAAGGTGACTCGCACCCAGCCTCTGTCTGTCTTGAGCTGTATAGGGCTGGCAGAGAGCAAGCCACTGCGTGCAGTTTCTCCTTGCAGATCCTTGGAGGACCCTTCCCAGTTCAAGCCCCTACGTCAACCCCCAGGGCAGGTTTCCCTAACTTCATTTCCCAGGCTTCTCTCTGGGCCTGCTTGCTTAGCTGTGTAATGCAGAAACCCAACAACTAAGGAGAGCTGTTGGCATTATACAGGCAACATGTGGCACACAGTATGTTCAACACATGTTATTGTTGGATGCCATTGAGTCCAACTCATAGTGACCCCATGTGACAGAGCAGAACTGCCCCATTGGGCTTTCTTGGCTGTAATCTTTACAGGAGCCAATTGCCAGATCTTTGGACATGTAGGAGCTTTGGACAATTCCATCTCCTGACTTCCTCTTCCTGAGTCAGCTCCTCCCACCCCCAGAGCCCCACTCGGCCCACCTGGTCGTGCAACTCGTCCTCGGGGCTTGGCTTTTCCTTGTGGTGCTTGGCGTCCATGCAAACGTTGAGAAGTTCAGTCCTGGCCCGCGTAGTCCTGAGCTGGGCACCACATCCAGCGCCCACCAACACCAGAAGGAATAGCAGCTGTGTTGTCATCAGCCGAGCCATGTCTGCCTCTAAAGGAAGAGCTGTGGTCAGTGGCACCAAGGAATGCGGAGGTGGGGGGGTGGGGCCTCAAGGTGTGGGAACAGCCCCAGCTGGGTGGGGCCTGGACAATGAAGCCTGAGGCGGGTCATGCCCCACCCCTGTTGTTGTTCAGTGCCATCAAGTCGATTCCGATTCACAGCAATCCCATGCGACAGAGTAGAACTGCTCCATAGGGTTTTCTAGGCTATAATCTTTACATGGAGCCCTGGTGGTGCAGTGGTTAAGAGTTTGGCTGCTAACCAAAAGGTTGGCAGTTTGAATCCACTAGCCACTCATTGGAAACCCCATGGGGCAGTTCTACTGTGTCCTATAGGAATTTTTTTTTTTTTTTAAATCTTTATGGGAGCAGATTGCCAGGTCTTTCTCTTGCAGAGCCGCTGGGTGGGTTCCAATTACCAACCTTTCGGTAGGTTGCTCTGGAAACGCATATCCTTGAAAACCCTATTGAGCAGTTCTCTGCAAACATGGGGTCCTCATGAGTGGGAATCAACTCAATGGCAGCTAACAGCTGTGACCTGGGGGATAGCACAGGGCAGAAGCTCCAGGGGATGGGGCAGCCTCCCTGGCGTTTTGGGAGGCTCCTGAGCCCCCGACAACAGATCTGTCCATTTCTCGGCGGGCCTTCACAACACCTCAATCCTTTGACCTCAGTCACTAAATTGTGAGAAGTGACCCTTCCCCTCACACCTATGGTCACCAGGGGCCTGACACTTCCTAAAATGCTTGGAATTTCCCATAGGTCCTCTCCATCTCTTTCCTCTGACTCACTCACATGAGGATTCACTGAAGTTCCCACGCCTTACCCAGCCCCACAGTGCCCCCATTGCCCTCAGGGTTTCAGCGTCTTGCCTGGGCCTCCTAGATAGGGTTGTTGACAGGGCCTGAGCAAGGCTGTCTCTCCTGACTTAGCCCAGCACTGGGCAGACTGGAGGGCTCAGGTAAACCTAGAATTATTTCCCACCCAGCTCTCCTTCCCCACCCTGCCCTACCCTTCTGGAATCCATTATTTCACTACTCTGTTTATTCTGGTATTCATTCATTCTCTCACTTGCTAATTAATTCATTCCAGGACTCAATCATCCCTTTCACTGACCAGTGCACTCACTAATCCCTGGAAGCAGAACCAAGGAAACTCCTCCTCTCAGGAAACACCAGATGACTCTTCAGATTAGGCTAGTTTGGGAAAACAAAGCCTAGTAGCTTAGAGCACAAGGTTTCAGGTTAGCCTCCAGGGACTCATTCTTCACTCCACCTCCTGCTTGACCTTGGGGAAAAACTCTATCGTGAGGCTTAGTTTTTTCATCTGAGGATTAAATGGAGGAACAAAAAAACACTAGCCAGTGGGGCTCTGTGTAATCATTTGGGCACTAATTGAGGGATAGATGTACCCAAAGTCAAACAGCAGAGACCACCCACATCTGCCCCTCAAGTTCAGAGCTCCTGCACCTTCTCTGTGCTGGCACTCACAGGGCAGCTGACAAGGGTGAAGTGCTGGGGGCGGGGGCTGACAGTCTCTCTTGCTGTGGCTGCTTTCTGGAGCCAGAGTTCTCTGCTTCTCCTTGTGACCTATATCACCCAGCAAGCCACTTCTCCACCCTCCTAGCTCTACGTTCAAATCTTCGTCTAACTATTACACCCCTCCACCTTGGGGCCCCAGACTGGAAGAGCCTAGAACAGTGCTGGGCTGAAAGACAAGAGCCTTGGACTCTAGTTCAGGGATGGGCACTGACTTGTAGTCCACTTCGGTCTGGGCCTCAGTCTCCCCTTCTGGATACTCTAGGGTTTAGGTAAACAGGGCCCGCCTAGCTCAGCAAATCCTTTAACACGCACTGGGAGTACCATAGGATGTGACACCTCTGATGGGTTGGGGAGCGGCATACCTGGGAGAGGAGGCAGCTCTCGGTCTGGCTCTAGCTTCTACTTTGCTCTATACTCCCCTTGCCTTATTCCAGGGGGCAGTGGCGGTTTAGTGGCCTAGGAGACAGGCAGTGGGGCAGGCAGCAGGAATGAAGCCCAGGAGTGGAGCTGGGATCAGGCAAAGGCCACTCAGCAGTTAATTATTGCACTTGGGCACCAGCCAGGCCTCCGTAGGGGTGGATTAATAGCGCAGGCCTAAGGCCAGTGGAGCCCCGGTGGTGCATTGGTTAAGAGTTCAGCTGCTAACCAAAAGGTCAGCAGTTCGAATCCACCAGCCACTCCTTGGAAACCGTATGGGGCAGTTCTATTCTGTCCTGTAGGGTTGTTATGAGTCAGAATTGACTCGAGGGCAATGGGTTTGGTTTTTTTTTAAGGCCAGTGCCCAAGCCCCACTTATCCTGTTTCTCCCAAAGCTCAGGTCTGATAAAATCTTGCAGCCTGAGCTGTTGGAATCCTCTGAGATAATTTGGTCCGCTTCCACCACCCCTCACCTGTTATGCAGATGAGGAGAATGAGACTCAGAGAAGTAGAGCAGAGCCAATGGCAGAGCAAGGGTTGAAACGCAAGCTTCCAGCCTCCCAGCCAGCTGTAGACAACAAGGAGCTCCCAAGTCCCCAACTTATAGGGCCACCAACTCCTCCAACCCCATCAGCCCCAGGTCCACCTATTTCCAGCAGCAGAATTACAGACATTCTGAATCTTCTGACCAGAGGGGTTGTTCCAAGGTATGCCCTCCTCTCAGCCTTTCTCCCAAAAATCCTTTCTACAGTATTAGGTTCAGAGTTTGATCTAATTTAGACTCTTCTTTCCAGTCCCCAACCTCACTCACCCCTACCCTCTTACCCTGTCAAGGACAGAGCCTTCGTTTGACCATGACCATGGTGATCCCTGGTGGGAAAAGGGAAGAAGGGAGGAGCAAATTTTGGCGGGAGGAAACACGAAACTCCATTTTGTCAACCAGAGAGAGGTGACTGTAGAGGTTAGGGCTCAGGGGAATGGTCTGGGTTGGGTGCAGAGGGTCTGGGTTGGATGTGGGAGCCAGAAGGATAAGGATGGCAGTAGAAACTCACAGAAATGGGAGCCCAATACCTTGCAGAATGCCCGAGGAGCAAGGGAGGAACCAGGAGCCAGAGGAGGAAAGTCAATCAAGAAGGAATACCCTAAAGGATTTGCAAAGAAACCGACTTCCAGGAGACCCTGCCCCAAGCCAGAGCCCTGCTTTTCCTGTCCCGTGTCAGTCAGTCTGAGCCTTACCTGAATCCTGCGACAATCTAGATGCTAAGTGCTTTGAAGACTCTAGCAGCCCTCTTGCCTCCCTCCTCACTTTATAGCCTTCTTGCTTTATAATCAGCCTGCTGATTGGAGAAGGGTGAGACAGACATCTAAGAATGTCTGAAAGGTGGGAGTTCCCTTAGCTGGGACCCACCCTTTCCCCCACATCCTCTACCCCTGCACTGGGAGCTGATCATTAACTGACTTTATGACCCCTCCCCTGTGGCCAGAGGTTTACCCCCACCCCCCAGGCAGTTGTCTTGTGAGTGGAAGGAGAGTATCTGACCCAGACTGGAAGCAAAATATTGGGAAGATTAGCCATCAGCATTCCATCAGACCCCAACCTGAAGGCTGCCCTGTGACCTGGCCAAGATAACTTAAAAGTGTTTGATGCGCAAAGCTGGGGGCTCTGGGCTGCAAGGAGCTGGAAGGCAGCCCTAGAGTGGGGTAGGGAGAAACTCAAGCTTTTCCTGAGATGTTGCATGTCTCTTATTACCCATCCTCTCAGAGATGGAAACTGTGGAGCCCAGGCTAGCAAGTGGAGAGGCTAGGATTCAGATCTGAGTCTGAGCCTGGCTTCTTTCACATAGCAGCTTCAGGAGAGACACTCCTAAAATCAGCACCGCAGATCCAGTGTTCCCTTTCTGGCCTCATCTCCTCTCCATGCCCCCTCAAGCTTCTATCTCTACCACCCCGAAATTCTACTCGCGCTTATATTACCTCCATGCCTTTGCACTCGCCATACCCTCTCCCTGGAATGCCTTTTCCCCTTGTGGTTTCCTGCTTGGCAAACATGACTCCTCTGCAAGCCTTCCCTAACCTCTTTGGGTTCCCATAGAGCAACACTATCCCTCTATCAAAGCCTCACCTCATTGTTCTAGTAGTTATTGGTTCTTAGGTCTGTCTGCCTCCACCAAGCCATGACATGGGACTCAGTTCTCTTCTTGTCTTCAAGACTAGCACAGGCCAGCCCTGGATGTTCAGAAAGCACTTGTTGACTGAAAGATGAGTGCATGGATTCCTTAACTTACTGAGCACCTACTCTGCGCCTGGCACTGACCTGGGCCCTGAGGATCTGGGACTAAACAACATAGGCGTGGCCTCTGCTTTCAGGTGTGCATGTTTTGTTGTTGGGGACACCAGTTACCAGTTGCTGTTGAGTTGACTCTGACTCATGGCGACCCCATGTGTGTCAGAGTAGAACTATGCTCCACAAGGTTTTCAATGGCTGATTTTTTGAAAGTAGGTCACCAGCACCTCTGGGTGGACTCAAACCTCCAACTTTTCCGTTAGCAGCCGAGTGAGTTAACCATTTGCACCACCCAGGGACTTCTGTTAAGGACAAGCCAGGCAATAAATACAGTAGACAGATCTATGTAAAGGGGGCTAGAGTGATGAGAGTGATGTGCTAGGAAGTGCCTGGATGGCTTCTTCAGAAAAGTCATGGGGGGAGGGGGCATTTTAGGTTGAGTCTAAGTGGCTATAAGGAGCCAGCCTGCAGAGAATGAATGAAGAACATCCCAGGCACCAGACCGGTTGTTGTCAAGTTGATTTCGACTCATGGAAACCCCGTACGTGTCAGAGTAGAACTGTGCTCCATAGGATTTTCAATGCCTGATTGTTTGGAAGTAGATGGCCAGGACTTTCTTCTGAACTGCCTCTGGCTGGACTTGAACCTCCAACCTTTGGTTTAGTAGCCAAGTACATTAACCATTTGCACCACCTAGGACTTCCATTCCAGGCACAGGGAGAAGGAATTACTGGAACAAAGGCCCCAAGGTAGGAAGTGTGGATAGAGTTCATATATGTGGATGGGAGTGGGCGTATAGGGTGGTGATTTGACATGAGATCTAAGAGATGGGGCAGGGCCTTCTATGTCATTGAAGACATTTGGTTTTTATGACAAATACCATGGGAAAGTGTTGAAAGTTTGTAGAGGGAGCTGTCACATAATAAGACATTTTGGACTTTTGTTTTTACTTTTAAAAAAATGCCCATGAGATACTAAAGCTCATTTGTGAAAGTTTGTTGAGGAATAGATATCTACAGTTCTCAGAAGACCTCCCTATCAAATACTTATTTATTACAAAGGGAAAAGAGTAGAGAAGAAACCTGGCAGACACCATCTGAACCAAAAGATGAAAGCTAACATCACTAAAAATAGGAAAATCCAACATCATATGCTTCCTACTAGGATGCACAATAAGGATACAGCATTACTATTGGAGCATTTGTGTCAAAAATGCATAACCTCAATTTAATCATGAGGGAGCAGAGAAACCCAAACTGAAGGATAGTTAACAAAATAACTGGTCTGTGCTTTTCAAAAATGTCAGGGTCATAAAAGCACTCCCCTCCCTCAAATATCTACTAGTAGAGGACTGAATAAAATGTGATGTATACATAGACTGAAATATTATCCGTATGATGGTTGTCGGTCACCTTGGCTGGGCCATGATTTATAGTGGTTTGACAGTTATGTAATGATGTAGTTTGGCAGTTATGCAATGCTGTAATCATCCTCCATGATGTGATCTGATGTGATCAGCTAATCAGTTGTAAGAGGAGTTTCCTTGGGGGTGTGGCCTGCATCCAATATATATATAAATGTTCTGACAAGGCTAGCTTGCTTGCTCTGGATCCTGCATCTGGCTCATCATCATCTGACTTCCAGTTCTTGGGATTCGTCAGCCTCTGCAGCCCATGAGCCAGCAGCCTACAGTCTGACTTGCTGATCTTGGATTCATCAGTCCCTGCAGCTACGTGAGTCAGGAAAAGCCTCCAGCCTGACACCTGACCCATGGACTTGGGACTTGCCATCCTCTGCAACCACATGAGCCATTTTCTTGATCTCTCTCTCTCTGCATATATATATCTATATCTATCTATCTATCTATATATATATATAATATATATAGATAGATAGATAGATAGATACAGATATATTCACTGGTTTTGCTTCTCTAGAGAACCCAGCCTAAGACACCCGGCAATTATAGACCTCAATAGATCAATACGGAAAGATCTCAGAAACAGGGTCCTCATAAAAAGACATATGGCAAATGAAAATTACACTGATGCCCTTTATTCCATTTATCAGTTTAGCAGAAATCCCAAAGTTTAACACTGTATTACACATGTATCCATATTACTGTGGGGAAATGGGCGCTCATAGACATTGCTGGTGGAAGGCCAAATTGATATAACCCCTGTAAAGTTGTAACTATCAAAATTATAAATCTATTCCAGGGAAGAGGTTCAGCTATTTCTAAGCCCCCCACTAGGGACCTCCAGGTGAAGGGGAGAGGGTCAGTAGACACAGAGATTAGGAGATGGGAGGAGGGTTAAGGGCAGCTTTCAGAGCATTTGGAATGTGTAGGGTGAGGGGAGGAAGAGAAGGAGGCTAGGGACAGGGGGCAATTCCTGCCCAGCTAAGTTGTAGAGGAGGCAGTGGACCATATCAGGAGAGTGGCTTCAAGAGATTCGCAGGACTAAAAGATCACTCTGGAAGGCAGAAAGATTCTTTCTTTGTCAGTAATTCAGAGTCCCTGGGTGGTGCAAAGGGTCCCTGGCAAAGTGGTTAAGAGCTTGGCTGCTAACTGAAAGGTTGGCGGTTCGAACCCACTAGCCACTCTGTGGGAGAAAGATGTGGCAGTCTGCTTCTGTAAAGATTACAGCTTTGGAAGTCCTATGGGGCAGTTCTATTCTGTCTGTCTTATAGGAGGTTGGAATCTACTCAATGGCAATGGGTTTTGGTTTTGGGGTGGTGTAAACGGTTAAGCACTGGGCTACTAACTGAAAGATCCAGATGGTTCAAATTCAGCCAGAGACGCCTCAGAAGAAAAGTCTAGCAATCTGCCTCTGAAAGATCAGACATGAAAATCATATGGAACACAATTCTACTCTGTACACATGGTGTCGCTATGAATCGGAGTCAACCTGACGGTAACTGGTTTGTTTTTCTTTTTGTTTGTTCAGTAATTCAAGAGAGAAATGCTCTGGGTCAGATCTAGGGCAATGAAGGCAGTGCTTCAGGGATGGAGAGGAGAGTGGGAGACTCCCAAATAGAATCAATGAGTTGGGGGTGATAAAAAAATGTATGAGGTTTTGGGGAGGGAATCAAGGAAGAATCTGGTTTCCTTATGCGATAAAATGTGTAACTTAGTGCCTGGTGCATGACTAATTTTCAAGAGCATTTAAAGTTTACACATCATTTTCAATAGACTGCCTGATAAGACCCTTAGAAGAAGTTTGGGAAACAAGGATAGATAGCTCGCAGATATGAAAATTGAGGCCCAAGGATTTCAGCTCCCAAAGTCTATCAGTGGGTGGTGGGATTGAGTTTCAGGGTGGGGGGGATTATAAATTTATTTACTCCTTGACCCAGCAATCCCTCTTCTGGGAATTTACCCTCCAAGTATAACATTCCACTAAGTACCAGCTTGTTCATTGTAGAATTGTTTGTAGTTTTTAAAAAAAGAAACAATGCAAGTGTTCATCATAAATCCCAAGATCAATGTCTCTTTCCCACCCCAGATCTAGTAAGGGAAGGAGAGAAAGAAACCTTTTTCCCTTCCGGGAACCCAGTGACTCCTCCACCAATCTCTGCCCACCTTCCTTCTTCCGTCAGTCCTAGTGGTGTGAGAGTAGTGACCCTGGCATGAGGGCAGGCAGGTGCAGGGGTAAGAGACCCAAGCCAAGGGATCAGGTGCCTGGATTCTAATTCAACTTCCACCCCCTACTTGTTGATGAACCTCAGGCTAGTCCCAGCCCTTCTTTGGGGCTCTCAGTGGGAGTGATGAAGCAGTGAGTCATGTCTTCCCAAGCCACTCATCCCCAAATTCTTTACAAGACACACGTGAATCTGTGTATTAAAATAAGTTGTAAGGGGAATCCCAGGGGTCCCACCTTGGGTTATAAACCAATGATCAGGGCATGGACTGAACTGATTGTGAGGTCCCTTATCTGAGAGAGCGGAGCTGGGCTGAGCCTAGGCACCCAGGCTGGGTACGAGTCAAGGATGCAGTCCGGGCTCTGCTGTCCAGATGTCCAAGTGTCAGCAGTGGAAGCGGCTCAGCCAAGGAGCCATAGCAGCGTCAGGACTAGGCTGAGTAGGAGAGGCCCAGTTGCATGGGGCCCAGCCCTACTCATGGCTTCAGCATAGAACCTCGCCACTTCTTCATTAGGGTTGCCATGGGCTGGGTCAAACCACATCTGAATGCAGCGGCCACTCCCTTGGCTGTAGTTGCTGACCTTGTAGGAGTGACTCCAGAGGCCCTCGCAGAGGTCAGCAGGCGTGGGGAAGTAGAACTCAAATGTGTGGCAGGCGGCCTTGACTGGACACTCGTTAATCCCTGGTAGGAACAAAGCTACTTAGTTTCTGGTTGAGACCTCATCTCTCCCAATGCCAATTAGAATCACCACTTCTGTTACTCATCTCCTCCCTGCCCAGGCCCTCACCTGAGCTCCAGTTCCAGCCCTTGTGCCAGTTGGTCTTGCAGGTATAGGAGGTGCGGCAGTCTTCCCACCAGCGCTGACAGTCCTCTTTGCACAAGGGCACGTTGAGGATCCGCTCTTTGCGCCAGCTCTGATCCACCTGGTGGGGAGGGAGAAGAGCCCCTGTCAGCCAGGCATCTCAGCAGCCACAGGCCTTGAAGAAGACCAGAGTTGGAGGCCAAGGCAGTGCCTCTACTATGCTTGGACCACACCCTCCCTGCAAGTGCCACGGTGAATGTCTGTGGGGATGGCGCCCGTACCTGCTGGATCCAGGGCCCCAGATTGGGGGAGCACTCATAAAAACAGGTGTCCTGGATGAAGTGGCGCTTACAGTCGAGCTCCATCTTGCCACAGTGGTCCCAGTTAAAGTTATACAGGCGGGAGGTGTCCTTGTGCAGCTCCTGGCTGGTGTTCACTGAGCAGCAGGCATTCTTTCTCCAGGGGCTGCACTGGGTGGGGAAGACGCAGGGCTATATCTTCACTGACACAGCCATCTCCTCCATGTTCTGCTTCCCCTGCCCCAGGTAAGACATCCAGAGGAACTATCTCTGGGGAGGGCCCTGCTAGGTCTGCCCCTTGAGGGGCCCCCATTTTGAAGGAATGGCTGTTAAAAGTATTAGCCCTTTTTAAAAAATGATGGTGAAAATACGCACACCAAAACATTTTCCAATTCAACAGTTTCCACATGTACAATTCAGTGACATTTATCACAGTCTTCATGTTCTGCAACCATTATCTCTATCCTTTTCCAGCTTATTCCACCACCATTAACATAAACTCAATGCTTCCTAGGCAAAAACTCCCCCTGTCCCCTCCTTCCCACCCCAAAAACCACTAATAGTCTTTGGTTTCTATGTATTTGTTTACTTCATATAAATGAGACCATGGAGTATTTGTCTTTTTGCGACTGACTTATTTCACTTAGCATGATATTTTCAAGGTTCACCCATGTTTTGGTACACATCAGGACTTCATTTCTCTTTATGGCTGTGTACTAATATTCTATTGTATGTATGAGTATTATCTTTTAACAGAGAGTAATACAAGGGCCGTGGGAGCCCAAGGGGAGCCACTGTCTGGGGGAGCAATTACTACTTCTACAGCTGTTAACACTTTACAAAGTTATTTCACATTATTTCAGCTATTTACATTATTCATTTTCCATCCAGCCAATATTAATTGAGTGCTTATTATACATCAGGCAATGTGCTAGGGGCTGGGACTATTGCAGTGAACGAAACAGATAAAACCTTTGCCCTCATGGAGCTTATGGTTTTAGTCAGGAGTGGGAGGGGTTAAAAAACATTCTAGGCATAGAAAACAGCAGGTACAAAAAGGCCCTGAGCTTTTGCACTTTATCCTCTCAACAATGCAGTAAAAAAAAAAAATCATTACCCCAGTTTTCACAGAATTTAAGCAAGCGGCCCTCCTGGCAAATGGTGGAGTAAAGATTTTAACTCAAGACTGGAAAGAAAGGAACCTGGTCCCAGGTTGCAGTGAGAGGTAGAGGTCAAGGGTACTGATCTGGCTCTCCCAGGTCTAGAACTCCAGACTAGGAGTCTCCTGACAGGTTTCCAAAGCCGTAGGGGAAAAAGAACTATAGCTTGCATGTGGGCCTGAGCCGGGACCTGATCACACGTAGGGGTAGGGCAAGTAAGACAGGAAAGTGGTAGAGGTTTCTATTGGACTCAGAAGAGCTGAAGTGCTGAGTGATTACATGCCAACTGCTTAAACTCTCTGAGATGAATTCCACCTCCCAGGTCAAGTGAGCAGGGAGATGTGACAGGTCAGGGCACACAGGAGAAACCAGAAGGAAAACTCATGGGGATAGGGCCACATCTAGCCCTCTCCAACAACCTAGCCGACACCAGGTGCTGGGCAATACAGAACATTCAGGCCTCCCTGACTTCATGCGTGTACTTCTTCAAATGCCCTAACTCCTGCTCGTCCTGCAAAATCCCAACTACATCATCCTAACCTGCCAGTCAGGTCATCATTCCTGCCTCTGAAAGAGTTAATGATATGATGAAAAGCACTAACCCACTTCCTGTAGGAGCTTAACAAAAATGGCCACTGTCATAGCCCATGTCACTCAGAGTTATAATCATCCATCTCCCTGGGAGTGGGGACCCAGCCTGTTTGCCAATGTTTGCTGTAGCATGGCCATGAGGGACATGTCTGCCCCTCTACCTTGCCTCTGAGCTCCGGGGATGGCACATAATTAAGGTTAGGAAGAGGACTGTCAGTCTCCCTCCTAGCCCCTGCTAATGACTGGTCTCTCAGTTCCCACGTGTACCTGTGCCTCCTCTAAGCCTCAGTTTCCTCATTTGTGTAAGTAGAGAACACCACTCACTTACCAAGCAGACCTTTTGGGCATGTTTACTGACATGGCGAAAGGAAAGCACTTAGCTCAGCTCATGTTGTTGTTGTTAGTTGCCATTTCGACTCATGGTGACCCCATGTATGCAGAGTAGGTCTGCCTAATAGGGTTTTCAAGGCTCTGAACTTTCACAAGCCGATCGCCCAGGCCTGTCTCCTGAGGTGCCTTTGGGTGATTTGAACTGCCAACCTTTCAGCTTGTAGTCAAGCACTTAACCGTTTTCACCACCCAAGGCTTCCACTTGGCTCATAGTGGATGCTAGGGAAATGGTCCCTCTGTTATTGTAGATTTGGTGGTCTCCTGGTGGGGGAGGCCCTCCAGGAACACCTCAGTCACCCACTGCTTCTATCTCCCCCCACAGTTGACATTTCCATCCCCCTAACTTCTTCCCTGCCAGGGTCAGCCCCCTGCCCCATGCCAGCCCTCACTCCATGCTCACCTGGTCATGCAGCTTGTCCTCAGGGCCTGGCTTTGTCTTGTGGTGCTTGGCGTCCATGCAGACATTGAGCAGATCTGTTCTTCCCTGGGGATTCCTGGGGCGGGCACCCCATGCAGAGACCACCAAAGCCAGCAGCAGCAGCAGCTGTGTCATCTGCCAAGCCATGGCTGTCTGCTCCTGTGGGGGAGCCACAGTCAGAGGTGGGCAAGGCCTGAGGGAGAGGCAGCAAACGCTTGAATCTCTTCAGATGTCCTGATCTCTTCTCAAGCCCAGATCTTCTGCCCTGCCAAGCCTGCATTTTCACTGGTGTTAGGAGAGACGCCCACAGGGCAGCTGAGCCAAGGAATGAGGGGGAAGTAAAGTTGAGAGCAAGCCCTTCCAGGGTCATCCCAGGTCTGGAGGCAGGAGTCCCTGCATGATTCTCCAGCCCTCGCACCACTCCAACACTAGCTTGCTCTGCGATCTTGAGGGGAGCCACTACCTCTCTCTGAATTTCCCCAGTGTTTTGTACAGAATCTGAGTGCCTTCCAGCTCTGTAGTTCCTCTCAAATCTGTGCAGGAAGGAACCACAGAGCGCCGTCTGCTGCAGTGGTGTCACCCAGTGTGGTAACTCATGGTGTCACAACCCCATGAACCTCTTCCCCTACCAGACCACAGAGAAGCCTTAAAAATGTTTATTATCAATCTTAATCATAGAATAATATGTGATAAATACAGCCGTAAATTGCTTAAATGTAATATTTCTTAGATTATATGAATACTAACAACAAAATTGTTTTGTAAAATCTCTCTACGTTGAATTACAGCATTATTAGTTACGATATTATTTTTTATTTTTCTCCTTCTTTTCCTTTAATTACTACTTCATTCTCAAAACAGTTATTGATATAGGTTCACAAATACTAATTACCACAATATTGTAGCTAAAACATCAGACAATTTGACAAAATCAGTGACTATAAAAACACCAGCAGCAACAAAAACAATAGTGTGTGTTTGTAGCGAGTATAGACGAAATTATGTGATTCGAAGCGTCCCTGTAATTGGGTAATAATGACAGCTCTGACTGGAGGGCATTAGAAGGTTCAAAAAATAAACTGACATAGAGTTTTAGCCTTGTAGGTCTATGGATATATGTAAACTGGGCTTACAAAAAATGTTTTTGTTGTTATAACTAACTACAGGGATATTTTTATTAAAAATAATAAATTTCTGCTGAAACACTGGACAAAAATTTTATAGACAGTCATTTTGGTGTTACCCCCTCTGACAGTGTCACCTGGTGCAGTCAGCACCCCCTGCACCCTCCAGTGATGCCACTGATCTGCTGATGGGGGTAGGGAGTAAGGAGGGGAGATGACTCCACAATACCTCAGGCTTCCCCTCTCTCAGCCTATCTCCCTTGCCCCAGGACAGTTGAAGTTTAGAGGCCCAGAACTGGCAATGGGGCAGACAGGGAAGCTGAGCCTGGGCCAGGTGAAGGCCACTGACCAGTTCAGCTATTGCTCATGATCATTGTCCAGGTGAGAGCCAGTGAGAGTACAGCCCCAGAGAGCCAGGCCCCAGTTCCTCATACCACAACCACCCTCCCCAGTGAGGTCTAAGGAAGCCAGGCAATCAGATTCAGAGCCAGGGGAAGGCCAACAGGTAAGAGGATGGAACTGACCAAGGACAGTGGGCAGTGAGGGCACCAGAGTACAAGCCAGCAGAGAAGTCAGCTTCCTAGGAGGCCTGGGGAATACCTCACTTTGCTTCTCATCTCCCATCCCCACTTTCCCTCCTAGTCCTGTACCAGAGCCTAACTTCTGTTCTCAGCCCACCTAGGTAGGTGTGTCCCCTACCTCTCACCCTCTTTATAACCCTATCCTGACTATTTGATTGAACTGTCAGGGAAGGCAGGGCAGGTTTTGTCTAGGAAGCAGCTTAGCTTCCTATTGATAGCTGTGTATCAATAAGGAACAAGTTAAATAAATTATGGTACATCCACCCAATGGGATTCAACGTGGTAAAAAAGAATAAGAATGCTTTTCATGTACAAATGTGAAAAAATCTCCAAATACTTTGTTAAGTGAAAAAAGAAAAGTGCAGTTGGGTGTCAAAAGAATGCTATTTTTTTGTGTAAAAAAAGGAGGAGGAAAAACATTTGTTTGCAAAAGAAAATTCTGGTAAGGTATATGTCTCAGGGTCTCCTAGAGAAACAGAAAAAAAAAAAGAAAAGAAAAGAAAAACCCACTGCTGTCAAGTCGATTCTGACTCATAGTGACCCTGTAAGACAGAGTAGAACTGCCCCACAGTGTTTCCAAGGCTGTGATCCTTATGGAAGCAGACTGCCACATCTTTCTCCCTCAGAGCTGCTGGTGGGTTCAAATCACCAACCTTTTGGTTAGCAGCTGAGGGCTTAACCACTGTGTCACCAGGGCTCCTTTTACAGAAATAGAACCAGTGATATATATATAGAGAGGGAGAGATAGAGAAAGATTTACTTCAAGGGATTGGCTCACGTGATTGTAGGGGGCCGGCGAGTCCAAAATCCATAGGTCAGGTGGCAGATGGGAGACTTCTGCAGGCTTGTGTCCCAAGATCCATAGGTCAGGGACAAGAAGAGTGCAGAGGAGGAAGAGAGAGCCAATTCTACCAAAATTATCTATTTATAGCATGGGGGCAGACTACACACCAAGAAAACTTCCCTTTCAACTGATGGCTTGATTACATTATGGAAAGTGATTAATTAAATTGCATTAGATTACATTATAGAACAGCAACTAGTGTTTGACCAAACCACTGGGAATTACAGACTAGCCAAACTGACACATAAAATTAACCATCACAGTACAAAAGAAAGTAATTAAAGTGGTTATCTGGGTGGGGAGCAGGAGTAGGAGTGAGACTTTTCTCTGCAAAACTTTTCATACTGTTCTGATTTTTGGACCATGTGAATGCATGCCTGATTTTAAATAAAATATGTTTTTATGTGTATGTATATAAATATATAAAATGTTGAATGAAAAACAAGATACAGAATGATTTATCTGATTTGATACTATTTATGTAAATTTCCATAACAAAGGTTTGCACAAAGTAATGCTACATATCAGTTATGGATACTATACATGTGTTTGTAAAAGTATAAACGAGGCCACTAATAGTAGTAGTTCTCTGGGTATACTTCAAGAGAAATTATATGCATTTATGCCATGTAGCCACCACTCATCTGTCAGTTTGTCATACAGTGGTGGCTTAGTGTTGCCGTGATGCTGGAAGCTATGCCACTGGTATTTCAAACACCAGCAGGGTCACCCACAGTGGACAGGTTTCAGCAGAGCTTCCAGACTAAGACAGACTAGGAAGAAGGACCTGGCCATCTACTTCTAAAAAAAATTGACCAGTGAAAACCTCATGAATAGCAGCAGAACATTGTCTTAGTTATCTAGTGCTGCTATAACAGAAGTACCACAAGTGGACGGCTTTAACAAACAGAAATTTATTCTCTCACAGTTTAGAAAGTTAGAAGACTGATTTCAGAGCACAGGCTCCCAGAAAGGCTTTCTCTCTCTGCTGGCTCTGGGAGAAGGTCCTTGTCATCTATCTTCCCCTGGTCTAGGAGCTTCTCAGTAATGGGACCCCATGTCTAAAGGATACCCTCTGCTCCTGGCTGTTCTTTCGTGGTGGCATGAGGTCCCTTCTCCTCTCCGCTAGCTTCTCTCTTTTATATCTCAAAAGAGATTGACTCAAGATACAACCTAGTCCTGTAGATTGAGTTCTGCTTCATTAACATAATTGTCTTTAATCCTGCCTCATTAACATCAAGGAGGTTAGGATTTACAACACATATGACAATCACATCAGATCACACAATGGTGGACAACCACACAATACTGGGAATCATGGCCTAGCCAAGTTGATACACATTCTGGGGGGACACAATTCAATCCATGACAATTGTCTGATATAGTGCCAGAAGATGAGTCCCTCAAACTGGAAAGCACTCAAAATACAACTGGTGAAGAGCTGCCTCCTCAAAGTAGAGTCGACCTTGATGATGTAGATGGAATAAAGCTTTCAGGACCTTCATTTGCTGAGATGGCATGACTCAGAATGAGAAGAAACAGCTGCAAACATCCATTAATAATCCAAAGTGGAATGTACGAAGTATGAATCTAGGACAATTGGAAATCATCAGAAATGAAATGGAACACATAAACATCGATATCCTAGGCATTAGTGAGCTGAAATGGACTGGTATTGGCCATTTTGAATTGGACAGTCATATGGTCTACTTTATGCTGAGAATGATAAACTGAAGAGGAATGGGGTTGCATTCACTGTCGAAAAGAACATTTCAAGATCTATCCTGAAGTACAATGCTGTCAGTGATAGGATAATGCCCATATGCCTAAAAGGAAGACCAGTAAACATGACTAGTATTCAAATTTACACACCAACCACTAATGCCAAAGATGAAGAAATCAAAGTTTTTACCAACTTCTGCAGTCTGAAATTCATCAAACATTCAATCAAGACACATTGATAATTACTGGTGATTGGAATGAAAAAGTTGGAAACAAAGAAGGCCAAGCTGCACTGAAGGCACTGGTGAAAAACAAGTCTTCAGGAATTGATGGAATACCAATTGAGAAATTTGGAAGACAGCTACCTGGCCAACTGACTGGAAGAGACCCATATTTGCACCCATTCCAAAGAAAGGTGATTCAACAGAATGTGGAAATTATCGAACAATGTCATTCATATCACACGCAAGCAAAATTTTGCTGAAGATAATTCAAAAATAGTTGCAGCAGTACATGAACAGGGAACTGCCAAAAATTCAGGCCAGGTTCAGAAGAGGACATGGAATGAACGATATCATTGCTGATGTGAGATGGATCTTGACTGAAAGCAGAGAATACCAGGAAGATGTTTACCTATGTTTTACTGACTATGCAAAGGCATTCGACCGTGTGGATCATAACAAATTATGGATAACACTGCGAAGAATGGGAATTCAGGAACACTTAATTGTGCTAATGAAGAACCTGTACATAGACCACAACAAGGGATACTGAGTGGTTTAAAACCAGGAAAGTTTTTGCCAGGATTGTATCCTTTCACCATACTTATTCAATTTTTATGCTGAGCAAATAATCAGAGAAGCTGGACTATATGAAGAAGAACTTGACATCAGGATTGGAGGGTCAGTGAAAAAGAGGAAGACCCTCAATGAGATAGATTGACACGGTGGCTGCAACAACGGGCTCAAATATAGCAACAGCTGTGAAGATGGCGCAGGACCAGTCAGTGTTTATTCTGCTGTACATGGGGTTGCTATGAGTCGGAGCCGACTTGACAGCACCCAACAACAACAAATGCCACGTATCCCATTTTTGTGCATCAATTAGCATACTGGTCTCCACTTTGGTTTTTTTGGTAGTTTCACTAACAGTTATGTTTTTGACAAAAGGAAAAATCCTCATGAACCCAAGTTATTCATAAGCATACCCTTGAATCTTACTGTTGTGTCTGACAGCATAACTTTAAAGTTGCTACTGTATGCTTTGTATGGTCTGAAATTAATTGAAATGCTCTGTACGGCAAAATCCCTTTCATTAGCCATTATTAAAAAAATGTTTTGAAAGAAAACTTCACTTTTTCAA